AAACTTGATGAGCTTAGCCTCGTCCATACACCCGTTCCTATCCTGCTTGTCCTAAAGAAAAAATATATTCCAAATGCTTTTTAAAACAATTTAATAGTATTTCAAATAAATTTTGAAACGTTAAAAACAAATTAACCTTCTTAATATTCACAATACGTTAGTAAAATTTGACAGACTGAGTTTGATTAATCTTGGTAACCACCTACACGTACCAGGTTATACCATCCTCAGAAAAAATTGACGAATGAATGAGAGAACTAGGTAGGTTGTTCCGCGCTTATTGTTCAAAATATCACATTTAGTGGTCTAGATATGTGTTATATATTCAGTGGTTTTTGAACAACATTGTTCATGACTTACTGAACACCCTGTATGTTTCCCTTCGGTTGACCCGACGAAGTCAGCACTGTCGTCCAGACGGCTTATCATTTGTTTAACAGGTATAAGCCGGCCGTACTGTTTGTAGGTGACCAGTGCTGGCGGGTGTAGTATTAAATATTAGTCATTTAGACAACTCAGAACAATAGGACTTGTGTCAATTCACAAAACACATCATTATAATATAATTTATGAACGAAGGGTTGTGGAATATTCAATGACTTATATTATTATTTTCGTGTATTAATTTATACATATGAAAAGGGTGATCGAAATCAGGTAAGACACTTATTTTCTCAGAAACTATTCAGAATTTAAAATGTTTGTAAAAAGAAAAATTATTAAGTTTATAAAACTCTACAATAATATGAAGTTAAATAAATTTTGTTTTTATCCCTTCAAGGATATAATTGTTTATTTATAATTTTTTTAAATGCAAACTACTATTTTTGATTTGATAATATGATAGAAAAAAAAATTACACATAATTTTGTTCTTATAATTTTTTTTATCCGAACAACCGTTTAGGTTTTATAATTGTTTAAAGATTTTGACTTCCAGAAAAAATATTGTCATTTTTATTAAGTTTCATAATATCGGTGGCAGTACAACCGGTAGTTTTGTTAGATTCTTTAGTCTTACAAAACCATAAACTTTTAGCTATTAATAATACACCGAAAACCCGGTTTGAATCTATTATTGTTATCATTCATTTAGTTCGTAGTAAATTTTTGTAGCTAATTTAACTGTCATAACTTGATCAATAAAATTTGGTTTATGCAACAGCAAATAAAAATAATGACTTCTGTATTTAATACAGTAAAATGACAATAGAAATTTGGCCTAAAATCACTTAACTTTAAAAAGCTGTAACGGACGAACGGTTAATCGGATAAAAATAATTACAAGAACAAAATTGTTTGTAATTTTTTTTTCTATCATATTATAAAGTTAGAAATAAGAATTCCCATTTAAGAAAATTATAAATAAGGGTTTTTATCCTTGAAGGGACGAAAAAAAAATGGTTTGACTACATATTATTGTAGAGTTTTTTGAACTTGATATTTTTTCTCTATAATAAAATTTAAAATTCTCAATATTTCCTGAGAAAATGAGTGTCTTACCAGATATCAATTGCCCTGTATAGATATATTTGAGGACACTTGAATATAGCACTTTATTAATATAATAATTATCATTATTGAAGTCACTAGATTTGAGTTTATTAGTTTTATAAATTCTTGCGTTCGGTTGGGTACATCTAGATTTGTAAATAATTGCCGTCGCCAATTGTCAAAAATAGCGTAGTAATATTTAATTGCTACCTTCAGTTGAAGTTTTTTGTCCAGAAAGATAAAATACTCTGATCAACGAATTCATAACTTTCTCAACCAGACCTGAAATTACACTGGATAATAAAGGTATCCCGAGTAACTTCAATGTTGGTGGTACTGTATTAGTGTGGTCTCATAAATTAAATCCTGGTGTTAATTAAGTTATAAGTAAATATATTATGTTATATGAAGATCCATACATTATTTTAGATGTCAAAAACTTAAATTCATATGTTCTTCAAGACCCTGTTAGTGGAAAGATTAAAGGAACGTATAATATGATTTTATTGCGGAAATAAAAATATCCAGATCAGTGATTTTGATTTTTGTGTCCACCCCTTAGTTTTTTTTGTAAATTTGTTATTATTTTGATCCGTTCACTCTATTGAGAAGTTTTGTCATTTTACTTTAAACCTACTTAGGAGATTTCTGGAACGTAATAAAACATAACTATCATTTTTTTTTGTTAAATGTTGGAGCTAGCAATAATTATTTAATGCATATTGGCGCGCGTATGTTACATCCGGCCATGTATTCAAGAAACTAAACTATTGCTATTATCATGAACGCTATACACTAAAAATTAACATTATCTATTATAATCGTTTCACCCATGACACATACACCGACCACTATAAATACCTTTAAAATTTATACAAATATTTTTATCTTCTTCGATATTGAGTAAATTGTTAGGGTCGTTTCCCTCTTCTAAGTCGTCGTCGATTTGTATCGTCCGACAAAACCGTCACCTTAGAATTTGAATAAAGGTATTTAAGTAGTATTTTAATTCTTTCAAGAAGTGTTGATTCTTATATATATTTACAGAAGCAGCACTGGGATATCATCGTGGTGTGCAAGATAACGACAAACCTGAATTTAAGATTCAATAAAAAAGTAAAATATTAATTTAATTCTAAACTATAAGTTTATCATTATACTTATCGTAGATTGAATAATGACAGAATTTTTTTGAAAAATCTCAAATTTTTGTTAAAATATTGTTAGATAAAAAAATTAATTCGAAATTTTATTTAAACTAAATATAAAAGTAAAAATTTCAAAATTATAGGTTAGAAAAAATGTTGTTGTTTACTATTCTTCTTCAGGACTTTGGTGTTTAGGATAATCTAATCTTGCTTAATCCTCTAAGCAATTTTTTATATAGTTTATGGTATTATTAGTTTTCATCTTTTATAAATGATTAGGAATAATTATTTATAAATGTGTTATCTATCATAAGATGGTGATTGAGGATGTGATTTTTAAAATCACGTTTTGAGTTTAAGTACCAAATGTCGTCCTAATCAACCGAGTTATTAATTTTATTATTTTGTGTTTTTACATTATATTTATTTAGTAGTCCAATTTTAGAATAATCTGTAGTAGACCCAATTTCTAATACTATATAAATTAGGTTAATCCGATAATTTGGACTAACTATCTTTGGAAACATTATACACTTTTGCTTACTACTATGATTTTTAGCCATTCGGCGTGGCCCCAATTACTACTCGTGAATCTTTCTAGGAATTATCAACGATACGCGTAGAACGGTGTTGGCGGTGGTCACTACTTAACCTTAACTTACTGCAAACTATAACAAATTATATTACAACGACCCCCTTTTTTTTGGAAAACAGGTAATAACAAGGTGTACACACAACACAAGGCGGTTAAGTGATTACAATAAGACCTCTTTATTTAGCCTTTCCACTAATTTTTAATAATGTAGGGTTCTCCATCATACTTACGACCTCTAGGAAAGTTTGAGTACTTTTACCTTCACCACTAAACTACAGGTGTGAAGACGTAGGGTAACATTACTTTCTCCATAGATTATAAATTAGTTTACATAGGGTTCTGCTTACACCACCCTAGAATAGATAAACCACCTCTCCATTCTCCTTGAAATGCTTTTTTGGGTTTTTATAACACCACTACGAAGGATCCCCTTCGCAGATGGCAGAAAGTTCACTGGGTTTACAAGAGGGGGAAACGTAAGTTAGAGTTATGTTTATAGGGTGGAGGGATCCTAGTCTACATATGGGTCCCCCTAGAACTTTGGTTAGGTTAAAGAGGGGAGATCTCCATTTTTAATTATTCCGGGGCCACAACCTTTTACCCCTACACCATCCCAGAACACGCTCTGTAATAAAATAAAGAAAGGATTGGGGCGGTTCATTAGTAAGAATGGTGGTACATTGGGAAGTTTAAGAAAGTATCGACTGTGGTTATTTGGTTTAAAGTAAGTAAGAGTGGCTATAGTTATTGGGTAGGGAAAATAATAGAATGAAATAGAAAAACATCTCGGGGTATGTATGTCTACAAAAGCATGATTGATTTACAGGGTGATTTTTTTATCATAACCCACTGAATTACTTACAGAATAATAATAAATTAAACATTTTTTTTTTCGATTATCTTTAGTTACCCATCATTCTTGAATTATTAACTATGTAATACTTTTTAAGTTCATTCCTTATGCCTAGTAAGGGTGTCAACTTTGTTTTTTTAAATGGGAACACATTTTGAATTTAAAAATATGTTTGAGTTTTTAAATAGTTAATAATTCAAGAATGATGTGTAACTAAAGATAATCGAAAATAAAAATGTTTAATTTATTATTATTCTGTAAGTAATTCAGTGGGTTATGATAAAAAAATCACCCTGTATATGAGTAATGGTGAAATGTCATCAAAAGTTTAGTATTTAACTCCCGCACAAAAATTTATATACGGATTTATATAAGTATTTATGTGAGTATTGTATTCTTTTACGCTGTTATTTCAGTCAATTTACTTCTGGTGACCTATCTCACATTAATTGTTTATTACTAAAAATCCTTTGGCGAAGAGTTTATTATAGATTTGTTATATAAATAAATATTTTCACTTACCTTCTAATTATCCTGATAAGACAAATATTCTGCTGTGATGAACTATGTAGTTGATGTCACTATTAGCGGTATGATGTATGTGCGTTAGTAAACGCACTTGAAGTTACATAATATATGTTATATTAACTCGCGTATAATTATTTCTGTAATACAACTCTATATTAAATTTATTCAAGGTGAAAATTAAATTTATTACACTTTTGGTATTTTATGTGAAGCCTTTTTGTATATTTATGTAGTAAACTCTTTGATTTTGTATCTGGTGTTTTATACCAAAGTATTTATGATTTAATAATTTGTAAAATCAATAAATAAATTCTAAATAACATAATTGTTCTGTGCAATAAGCTATTTCCAAGTGGCCTACGTCTTATCAGTCATCCATAGAGTGATCTAGGATAGATGAGAGCTCAATTTCGGCTCTATGCACAATAGATTATATTAATGTCCTACACTCCGATGGACCACACCGAGGCTAAGATCAGATTGGCTTGTCGACAACTGGAGAGACACTTCTTAATTGTTTAGATAATTAGTATATTATTTCGACTCTGATTTATTCGTATTCCGTGGCTGGTTATGCCAACATGAAATCTCAAATAATATCTTTAACTTTATGTAAAGACCCTTATGATATGTGGCCTACTTCTTTTCAATAATTTGAAGGATGACTTAGGTTAGGTGCGACTGTACTATAGATTTATGCACAATAAGTTATTTTAGTGCCCTACACTCCGATGGTCCGGATTGTGTCTGAAATCAGACTGGCTAATCGAAAAGTGGAGAGATACTTTGGAGAAGTTTTGTAATTAGTTAAAACTTTCACTGAGATATTATTGTGCTAGTACTCTGTCCAGCCAGGTTGTGGCGCTTCAATAAGTAAAAGAACACAGAGCAATCTAATCATATATATTTTGAAGTGTGTATATATATAAAAATAAATAAATACAAATATTTTTTTATGTATTGTATCATCAACAGTGTTCGACCGAAAATAAGATGTATAATATTTCCTTTAAGTTCCCAACGATTAGAAATGTAATGTAAAATGGTGTAGATTTGATATAGAATTGTAATCAAGAGCGAACTATATACTCGCGCAGATGATCGAGAACTCCAGAGAGACGCGTAGTCGTGCTTGTAGCAGAGAGAGAGAGAGGAGCGTTGTTCCTTCTTTTGGCGAAAAATATAAAAGGCTATAAAAGGCTTTTTATAGCCCGAGAAACTGATTTAGCGATCTCGGGTAAGATTCTTGAAATATTTTTTGTTGGTCAATGTGAAAGAATTTTTTATGTGGTCGTTTTATGAAATGCGTTAGAGGGTGATTGAAACTTGTGTAAGGGTATTATTTTTTTATTTATCTTATTTGCGGGGAAACAAAATTGAATGTACGCTGTTGTCAACGCTTGATAGTATTCTCGTTATTATGGCGTGACAACTAATGGTGAGGTATGAACGTGTGCTGATCACTTAACGGTAGTCAACACAAAAGTTTATGAATGAAGAACTGGCATCGAACCGTTCATTGATAATACATACACAAAAAATTAAATACGTATAGTGTCTTTAAAAAACTGAATAAGATAATAATTGTGTATTATATAATTAAGTTAAACATTTTTCTAATTTAATTTTACTTTGTAAGTTGGTTTTCTGTCTCTTAGGCGTATCATTACTTGATATCCATGAACGCTATTCATCGTAAACTCGATTTTTAACTTTATATCAGACATTTTGCATTTAGTATGTACACTAAAGTTACGTAAAAATGTTGATAGCAGAACTTTTGTTGATAGCATTGCATACTTTTCTCCTAAATTATTATAAATGTCGAAGTTATTATATTTATTCTATGGTGACATCAATTTTTCACATGTTACCTATGCAGTTCCTAGGTCCACCACTAAATGCAATAAAAGTATACTTGTGTCGTTTTGCAACATTTTCTGGATCAAAATTATCTGGGTTGTACTCCCAGGGATTTGTATATAATTCTGGTAAATGATGGGTGGCTATTGGTGGTATAATTATAGTTGTGCCTTTTGGAATTGTGTAGTTACCTTAAAAACCAAAAACACAAGTATAAGCAGATTTACACATATGTACACTCAGAAAAATTACTTATTTTGACATCGTCTTGAATATATCTCAGTAAGAGTGGTACTACGGGGTACAATCGAAGAGTTTCCTTGATACATTGTTCCAGATATACAAACTTAATCGTATCTTCAATTGTTACTTTTCGATCACTTTCTCCCATTACTTGGTAGATTTCATTATAAACTTTGTCCTGTAAATTTGAAATTATATTTTAAATATGATAAAATATCGATGATCACTTATAAAACTGTATGTTACCTGAATGTCTTGATGGATTGCTAACATTAAAATACAGAAACAATTGGTTATAGAACTAGTCTCACTGCCCTATTAAAAAATAAAGTTATTACACGAATCGAATTTTTAAAAATTTATTAAGATTTTATTAATATTATTTTACTGCAATCATCATAGTTAAAATTTCATTTCTTAAATATTTGTTTGAAAAATTTGCTCCTTTATCATTTAACTCCAATAATACATCCAAAAATATTTTTCTTTGCTCGTCTACAATAGTAATCAATATTTATTTTAAACATAAATGAAATATAGTTTAAGCAGATCATTACTTTTATTTCTGTATAAGTTTAAAGAACTGTCTTTCTTCTTTTGGGCATATTGTCTTTTTTTTTCTTTAATTATCTAATAAAAATAGTGTTATTCGTAAATTATATATATATATTTTTACGTTTGTTGTTTACACGATATTATATACTAATACTAATATAGCAAAGTCTCCGGTAAGCAATTTAAGTACATTGGACTATAAGAAAAATAAATTTATGACCGTTAATTAACAGTTGAAGCAAAATTTTCTGACGAAGGTATGGATGGAAAGAAAAATGCGCTATGAGCATATCAAATAGAAAATTATTATTATCATTTAATAAATTTTCATAGTATTATAGAGTAATTGGTTAAGTTATTGAACAATAATGGGTTTACTTACTTCAAAATTATAGGATATATACTAGTTAATTTTACACTCAAATATTATACATAATATAATATTACATATGATATAAATCGATTATCATGTTACGAGTACACGCGGATGAAGTGAAATTTGTATTTCAACTGATATTATTTTAATAAATATAATGTCAGTTATTAACCATGATTAATAACTTTTAAATGCAAGTTACCAAACTAGCAAGTACCTATTATTGTATAAATTATAAGATCACTTTGCTAACGATGCAGCTAAATGAAGTCAATTTGGATGAAGAACAGCGTTAATTGAGTATAGTTAATATTTTCTGGTTCCTATTGGAAATTGGTAAAAGTTATTAAATAATCAACGCCATAACAATAGTAAAATTTTTATTATTATTCGTTACTTGAAACAATTATTATAAATCAAACACTAGAGTTAGTTAGAATTAATTTTTTTACTGTGATGGTGTCACGTTACCATTATTGTGAGATTTATTATAATAAAATACAGACAACACATCCGCTTCCTGAGACTGATGAATTTACAAATAATATCTATTGCCAATTTGGCAATAGTTCTAATTATTATAAAAACCCAAAAGACCTGACCATCGTGGTCAGTCGACTCCAGTGCCTTGTGTCATTCATCAGCCTCGGTACTCTGTTGTCGCCGTGAGGCTTACTGCTTAAAGTAAAGTCTTTATTTTTTCCTTTTTAACCTATCTACTCTCTTTCACAACATTTCAGAGTACTTGTGTCTTGCACTTCGTCTGCACCTCGTACTTCATTATCCTCTCCTAATAACCAAAGTACTCGTGTCTTGCACATCGTCTGCACCTCATATTTAAGTGTTACCCTTATTCCCTTTGTATAACAACAGCCTTTCGACACCCAAAGCTAACCCGAAGTGTCAGCCGAGCACGGTGACTGCTGTACGACAACACGCACGTGAATACCTAGACAGCACATCACATCCTCATCTTCTTACAAATTTTTTTACTTGCTGTTCTGTGTTACGACATTACATTTACTACCCATTTAAGAAGCATGCGTCAAATATCAGTAATTTATTTTTTTAATATAAATAAATATATTTTATTTATATTATTTATTATATATTAATATATATAAAACTTACTTTGTTGGGAAATTTAAATAAATTTTCATACATTTGGTCCAAGCCTGTAATTTTTTTATAAATATTAAAAATAAAATCAAAATACAACCATGGCTTAATAAGTCTTCCAATAACTTTCTCTGAAATTCTTAATAAATTTTCATTGATTAATAATTGAATATAAAATTTATTTTATCAAATTAAATAAAATTATTCGAGACAACATTTAACTCTCTGAAGCAATTATTTAAAACTATAACTTTTGGCTGGATTTAGACATACTGAGACCCAGGAACGGAAATTTTTAATTTGATTGTCGTTATTAATATTCAGTATTTTCTAAATTATATTGGTCTATACTAATAATAATTATATTGTTACTAATATACTGATGGATAAAATATAAAAGGGGATAAGCGATATTGTCTATACTATGAGGTAACCAACAATTTTCCGATCGCACCAGCGCTAGTGTTTCTTTGACCATTTAATTATGAAATATTTAATATTAATTTTTGGTATAAGCGACATTTAACCAATTTTATTAATAAAGTGTTATAAAAAGTAGGATCCAAGCTCCTTTTTTTAGAACATAAGCTTCAATACTTCCACTAATTCTCTACTTCTACCAGTTAATGTTCCAACATTCCAAGTACCTATTCTTACTTTGTATACATCTTTTTCCCTTATACACGAGTCCAGCCTAGAGTTAAATGGTGATGTCCCTACACCGTTGACAATACAAGCGTTGGGTAGACCTGTACACATGACTGGTGAAACAGCTACCGCACAAGTTGTCCGACTGGTATCAAATACTTTATTCCTTAGGCCTTCTCCGTTTTTAACTACTTTCTGTTGTCCCTGCGTATACCCAAGATGGGACAACCCGTCTAAATTTTGTTCTTATTAAGTATTCTTATCCCCTATCCACAGGGAAAGATGATCTAAATCCTTTAGAAACTTTTTGTTTAGTTTTTGCAGTAAGTATATTCTGTTGATCCAATACTACTCGAAGTTTTTTTACAAAATTATTTGGCGGTGTTATCAGAACAAATGATTTTTCATTCATTTTTATTACACCAGTAAAACTGGAATTTACTACTACTAATTACAAATTTATAGGTTTGAGCATTAATTCTGTTTTTTTTTTAAATAACCAGAAGAAAGTTTAACCTAATATCAAAGAGTTTTCAGAAATTCTTTAGCAATTTCACAATAAGAATTACGGAAAAATAACAAAAAAAATGCCTAAATATTTAACTTAGTTCTTATTAAAATAATAATATATGTTCAACTTAATAAATTTTTGGAAAATTTAGACAATTTAAATGTTCTTTTAATGAATTTAATTTAAAAAAGTTGCAAAAATAGTAACTTTTAATAGTAAAACTTCCGATCACACCAGCGCTAGTGATTCTTTGAATATTTAGTTATAAAATATTTAACTTTTAATTTTTGGTATAAGCGATATTTAATCAATTTTATTAATAAAATTATATAAAAGTAGAGACCATTTGCCGTTTATCCGTTTAACAATTTTATTGTTTAGTTTTGAAATTATTAATTGTTAGATAAAGTATAAACTGATAAACAATCAACATCAGGGTGTCTCATCTAAAGTCTATTGAATCTACTAAACACCGAAACGAAATTAGCTTATGTATGGAGTAAAAATCAATTATGAATATTTTCATGATTTTTTTGAGGTCATTTAGAAATTGCTAAATTGTTTAAAAATTCAAAATTTGAGATTTCTCAAAAAATTTCTGTTTATTATTTTATCATTCTTTAAACTACTGTAAGTATAATGATAACTTATTAATTAAAATTCAATTAATATTTTACTTTTTCATTGAATCATTGAACTCAGATTTGTCGTTAGCTTGTGCACCTTCATATCCCAGTACTGATTCTGTAAATAATATATGTATAAAGGTCGATTTACACTATATGGAACGTCAACGTCACGTCAAATCTGTCATGGCAGGGTAAACCCACAACATGTGGGTTAGGGGGGGTCCTTATTCATACTTTATAGTACTATTTATATATAAAACTTTTATAGAAAAAATAGAATTGATCCATCCATTTTTAAAAAGTTATATCAATTTAAGGTTGAAAATATAAAATCAAAAATATTTCTATAAAAATTGCATGTTTTTAATTACGGAATCTATTATTTTTACGTAGAATAAGTCTTATAATAGACATATAATAGTTAAGTCGTTGGGACAAATTTTTTTTAACGTATAGTAAGTAACATAAGTTTTAACTTAAACATTGATTTGCTTCGTATCGAAAGTTATAATATTGCACTTAAACTATTCTCCTTCTTAGGTTTCAAAATATTTTTTAATACAATTTTTTTTTGAATAAAAATTAATATTTTTATAAATCTCAAAGCAAAAGCATACTTTTTCATAAAAAATTTAACACCGGGGATTGACGGCCGGTTATAAAAAGTGTACGGGAAATCATGTGAAAAAAGAGGCACGGTACGGGATTAGAACCCGCGATCCAAGGCGTTGTATAGACAAACCTTATTACTAAGCTACCGTGCACTTATGATTCAAATCCAGATACACTTTCATTTAGGTTGATAACGTGATGTGCGGCTGAGGGAAACACGGTACCGTGTCAAATTGTATATATTTAAAAAATAAATTTATCATAGAAATCAATTATAGAATATATAACTAAAATAAAAATTATTTTTAAAAATATCACTTGCCACTTATTGTATCAACAAAAGTAGAATGAACATAATCCCAAATATTAAAGGACTCAGAATTTCGCAGTTCCTTTTGAAGTTTTATTATGAAAGCTGCACATTTTTCATTGAAAATTGGCAAAAGAGTATGTATCTGAGAAGTATTAAAATAAGGAGAGATAATCCGTCGATGTGTTTTCCATTTAGAAACTAAAAGTAATGATAAAAATTCTTAAATTACATAAAAACAGCAACAATATTTAAATTAACTATTTAATTTTCTTTATTAAAATATTTCTCTACAATTTGTTATTTAATAAAAAAAACGGTAGCACATTGGGGTCACTGCAAGTATGGAAGTAGCATAGTGGGAACAAGTATAGATGACATCTGACAGTGATTAAAATCACTATCATAAGAAACGCTTCGATGCAAATCTGTATATCCCAATTAGTTATTTGATTTATAATTATTATATATGAATAAATAATAATTTTAGTAATTAAATTTAATATGACATTGATATTCAATAATTTAATATTGTAATTTTTACGAAGATATTACAAAAATGATAAAGTAGTTGTATATTTCTTTACTTTTAACGAGAATTTTTTCACGGAAATCGTACGTTTTTCTTTTTATTTCTTATGTCCGTTTTCACCACAAAGACATGTCCAGAGGTCAAATTTGTTTTTTATAATAAAATATATTACATAGGCTTTAATTTAAGGTATATATAAAAGTGTCCGTCTTTCCAGAAAAAAGTAAAAAAATCTCTTCAACTAAATATGATTTGCATCTATTTTGAAAAAAAAAACATATGAGAGTAAAATTAATACTTTCTGAGCTTCGCATCGAAGCTTATACAATATATTATTCATTTTTATTATAATGACGTTGGGTTGGATTGGGTTAAGATAATGGCAACACTCACTGAACAATCGCTCAAAGTGCTACCCAAGAATTGGTACACAGAACAATACAGGAAAATCTGTAAAGTACTTGGTAGTAATTAGACAATCTAAAATGTTTATCAAGATCCCCGGTCTACTGCTGGGTGGTCTTAATAACATGACTAAACATCAAGTAAACACTTTGTCTGGTCTAATAATGGGACATGTTCACTTGTTTAAACATCTTTACGCAATGGGGATATTGGAATCATTATTGTACAGGAAGTGTGGAATAGAAGAGAAAGACTCATTTTACATAATATGCGAATGTGAAGCCTTGTCCACATCAAATCAAACTACTTAATTAAACCTTTTCCCAAATAAATATAGTTTTAAAAAACTGAAAAACACGCTTTTAAAGCATATCAAACTAAAGAGTTAAAAATTATTTTTAAAATAAGCTTAAAACAATAATGAACGAAAAATACTAGTATTATTGTGAAGAAAAGCTTCGGTCGTTCAATATACGAAAAATATGGCACAAAGCACCCACGCTTTTTTTCTTAATAATACCAGTATTTTTTGTACATTATTGTTTTAAGCTTATTTTAAAAATTATTTTTAACTTTTTAGTTCGATATGCTTTAAAAGCGTGCTTTTCAGTTTTTTAAAACTATATTTATTTTTAACTTTTTAGTTTTTATGACATTGCTGTCACAGTCACGGAGTGTTTATTGTAAATAATGACTATCAATAGATATAATATCTGTAATGCCAGTTAGTGTGTTTAAAAACACACAACGATGTGATTTATGACCATTGATAATAAAGGCTATATACCTGCGAATATCGTCATAAAAAACCAATTAGCTACCTGTATTTGTATCCGCTTATATATTATACATGTATATTAACTCAAAAAAAAATTGAATTTTTAAATGTTTACATCTAATAATAAACAATAAAACTTTGTTTATAAATATATATATATATATATATATAATATTGATAATACACACGCATGTACGGGTACGAAAACCAAAAATAAAATTATACAGGAATAGTGTTTGCTATAGTGTTTGAAACCCGTCGTGTGGTGAGCGGGGTGGGGTGAATGCGTTACGACAGTTTAGTCTCGAGGCCATAGACGACGGGATTCGTGAGCATAATAACACGTGGCGCGTGGAGAGTAACACACAACACACATACATGTGAAACTAATATAAGCGTGTTAAAAAGGAGAGATTAAAAACCTAAGACCCAGAGAGATACTTAATTTTACCAGAAAGACAGGACTCTTTGATTATCTACAGGTATTGACTTGATAGTCCACCCTAATAAAATTAATAGTATAAAGTAATAACACTTAAGTGTGTAAACCGATTCAAGACAATTCGGAATGAGGTGTGCACAATGGACCAACAGGTCTGAGTGCAAGGGTATTATGTCCAACTCAATAATAATTAAAACTAAGTATAATATAAGTAATTATTATTTTTCCTCACCAGGAACAGTAAGTAATCCTTCTCCAAGAGCATCATTCAAAATATCGACTATTTTATCTTTTCCGAGAGCTTTAGAATGATTTAATATAATCTGAAAAAATATTATCTTTCTAAGAAAATGAATATTTTTTTTTTAGTATAATCATGAATATTAATTCATGATTATACTAAAAATTATAGATTTTTAATAAGATCTAGATTATTTTTATTTTATAATATTTAGTGAATATTATTCACTTATAGAGGAGGATTGCCGTATTCTAAGAAATGCAAAGAAAATTTTAATGATAAATATAGTGATAATGAATATTGTTCGCCGCTTAGAATTATTAAAAAACCATACCAAAAAAAAACTTTGCCGTATGGCTTGAAATAAGGGCAACTGATAATTAATAAATAATTTTTGATTAATGTTAAATTACCGACATAGATGAATAAATAATCATTAACACAAATGCAGTCTGTTTAATTTAACGAATAGAACTGTTTAATTAAATACAAAGGTTGACTATAATACATTTGATTTTTGTAAATAAATTGAATGATAAAAATCTAAATCTAATGTTTAATAATATAAATATAGTATCTAGAAGTTTCGGTTAAAAGCCATGAACATTTTACAGCATAAAAAACCCAACACAGTGGGGACGTGACATAGATGGGTTCAGTATAGATGATAACTGACTGTGATTAAAATCAATAGCATAAAAAACGCTTCAATGCAAATCTGTAGATAATGTTTAATTTTAAAAAATTAATGGATTATTCCAAAAACTACATTATTTCCTATTTCCTTATTTATATTCTGATTACAAGTTTTATGATTTATAAGTGTTGCATTTTATACAATATCTTGTTCATAATATTATTATTTTTAAATTTTGTTATCAAAAAAACATGACACTTCTAACTCAACGGCTGGTTGACAACGGCCGTAGATAAGGCGTCCTAATAGCTAATGGCGTATGAGCACCATCTTCTAACTGCACACATACCGCCAAACACTATCAATACGAATCTCGCACTTGGCGCGAACAAATACATTTATTATTAGATATTTCTTTGTCACACGTCTTCTCCCGCCTAAGTATTAATATCTAGTTATAAAAATGTTAATAACTTTCAAAGTACAGATCTAAGTTGTTATAAATTAGTAATTTTCTTAATTAAATCATTATCTATTAAATAAGCATTTTAAATATGTATGTTGCAAATTAAAAAAATCAAGTTGACACCGTTATAAGATATGAGGGATGAATCAAAAAAGTACTTTATAATTATTAAACATAATACAGGACAACGAATAATGAAACCTTTTTTCTCGTCTACAATATTTAGGTAAATTATTCATTGAGTTTCGAAACTGGCTTCATATTTTTTCCGTTAGATCCGTTTTTGAAATAATATATTATTCTATATATTGACAAGCGCAACATTTTAGAATCATAATTTCTAAATAGTAAATTATTTCTAGAAAAAACTATTAAATATAAGTATAATTCATTAAAATATTACTTTAATTTTGAAAACATCATAACGTACTTGTATATCTTCTGGCTCTATTACATTTAATGCAAGTGTAGAACCCAACCAGATTTTAAATGGTTTCGGGCCGTACTGTTCGTATAACTGAATTATTTTTTCCATAACATCTAAAAATCAATTTATGTGTTATAACACTATATTTATTCATGTTTATTTTAAACAATAATAATAAGCAACCACACAATTTCAGACATATACATCATTTGTATTTTATTGATATTTATTTGTTTTTTTGTCGTTTTTATTTATGATATTGTTTTTCCAAAAAACATATCTTCTAAAGTTTTAGTTAAAAATGTTTGAACAATTGGTGGACATTTTTTAAAAATAAAAAAAACCAGCACAGTAAGGTCGCGGCAGAATGGGGACGTGACATAATAAGAATAAATAAATATATATGTCAGTTATTAACATCGTTGTCATAAAAAACAATTTTATGCAAATCTATTAAATTTTACAATTATTTTTCAAATAAGATTTTTATTAATTTGACGGCCCATTTCTCATAGTTGAAAAATCGGCAGGGGGGGAAAATATTTTTTGAATATTGTAGTTCATATCAAAAGTTTTAATTTAATATCGGTTTAAAGAACGCAGACGTCCAAGATCATTTTCAAAAATTGAATTTTTTTACATGTTTAGGCGGACACGTTTAACTCCTTCCTGTACTTATCTTAACTGACAATTATTACGGAAAGACAAAATAAAAAACGCAAATCATCACAAAATCTCTCAGCATCTCGTCGAAGCTAAAATTTGAGACGCTATAGCATTTTAATTGAATTTCTGATCAATAACTATCAAGCAGTTAGGTTTTAACACTATTGATTAATTTTACTATATTACAATTTTTTTTAGTATTATTAAATATAGGGAAGACCCGAGAAAATTGTCGAGCATAAGTTTTAATGATTCCGTTGTAAAAACTTTAAATGTTTGATCAATTTTCTTATTATTTGTGGTTATTAACACTTATCAGATAACTTATTTTAAAAATTTATATCCAAATACTTCAAAAAACACCAAATACTTTAAATTACCTTAACCAAATGTGTAAGTTGGTATTTAAGTAAAGTGCAATGACGAATATTATAATTTTTATTGAAAATTTAACCATTTTGTACTTAGACTATTAACAAAAGAAATTAGGTCAGTAAATATTTTTATATTATCAAACTAAAAATAGAGGTTATCATATAAGAAATTAAATTTAAGGGTTTTAACTCCGACGGCATGACAAAAAAATAATTTAGATACATAATACTGTAAGTTTTATTCAACCAAACAATTTTTCTCTTTATGAACATTGTAGCAATTAAAGCATAATTGTTAGATTAAAAAAACCAGCACAGGGGGGTCGCGGCACAGTGGTGACATGGCATAGTTGGATCAAGTATAATGATATCTGACAGTGATTAAAATCACTATAAAAAAAAACGCTTTGATGCAAATCTTTAGATAGTGTTTAATTTTAATAAATTGGTGAATTATTCCAAAAGCCACATGATCTGGTAGTTCCTTATTAATATCCTGATTAAGATAAAATATGTCGAATGAAAAAGAGATTATTAAAAATATTATTTCTCATAAAAAAATTGTATTGATCCATATATTTTTTAAAAAGTTATAGCCTTTTAAAGTAAAAAATGTAAAATATAAAATCGAGAAATTTCACACAAAAATAGCATTTGGTAGCCGTTTTCACCATGAAGACAAATCCAGATGTCAAATTTTTTTTTTTCAAATTAAAGTATATTACATTAGCTTTAATTTAATATATATATATAAGTGTCAGTCTTTCCGGGACATTTTCAAAAGTTAAGTTGAAAAAGTTAATTTTTTGTAAAAAAGTTACCATTTTAAATCTCTCCCTGTAGGCAGGATAAGTGTCAGATTTACAAAAAATATATACCAAATGATAAGTAAAGACATCATGCATCTATAAAAAAATTTATATTGATATGTTAATTTTTGAAAAAGTTACGGCAGTTTTTAGTAAAAAAAATTTCGAAAATTAGCGATTTTTAAATTTGTAATTTTTTTGGAGGTTTCCCCCATTTACGGGGAACGAGGGAAATTTTTTCAATTTTTGAGGATAATGTCTTCGACTAGATACGATTTGTGATGTTTTGACGTATCGTTGAAAGATATCCGTTCGGTGAGAGCTGAGAAAAAGTGGCATAAATTGCATATAGAATTACACCTCAAAGGTAATAATTACTGTGGCCTCGGCATCCGGTTAAAAGAACGTTTAGCAAGGGGTGACGTGGGGGTAAAAAAACTCGAAGAATTCTTCAAATCTCACGACATTTTTTACGATAAACATCATTCGAGTGCAGAGATATATAGAACAGACGAAGTATTAGAACACGGGGCTTGGGACATTGTTAAATCAAAGGACTCTGGATTTAAAGAACAGACCGCAGCATACTTAGTTACCAACTCCATGAAAGCAAAACGTAAAATAGGCATGGGATGTGGTTTTAAAACTATAGTTTCCGAAGCGAAAAAGGCATTAAGTAACATAAAAAGACAGCCGGCAAAGATATTACAAAATTAATAAAAATTGCGTTGACCACTGCTCGCAAAAAAACTCGCTGTGGTAGCATTTCTCATACACCACGTGTAATACCAAAGCCGAAATCTGGTGGGGTGCTCCCTCTTATTCCTATTTTCGCCAATTTATCGGCGTTAGGATTTCTAGCTGGTGGGGCGGGTAATATTATACGTACAATCATGGATGCGAGAGAAGCAAGCGATAAAGAATCTACAGTAAAACTCGGCAAAGGTTTATACCTTAAACCTTATAAGAACGGTACCGGTTTATTTTTATCACCGCCCAAGACAAAAAACTAATATCGAATCTGCCAAAGACTGTTCGATATGACTATCAAATTATATAATATGCAAATTTATTGAAAATACCTTATTTTAGAGGGGTCTTTAGCAGAGACATATTGCCTGTACGTCCTTTAAAAAACGAGAGTGCAGTTATTAATTTAAGCAAACAAAACGAGCCAAGTACTCATTGGACGTGTTATAGAAAAATAACAATATAGTACATTATTTCGATAGTGATGGTGATTTAGCTCCACCGCTAGAGTTGCAGAAATATTTTAACGGGTGTACTGTAAATTACAACTATTTACGGTATCAAGATGATAGAGCGATAAACTGTGGTCATTTGTGTCTAAAATTTCTAAGTCAGAAATTATGAAATCGGCTACAATAATGTTGAGCGGTAATTCGTCACAATTGAGTTGCAGTTTTTACCCGCCTCTGGAATTTGAAGAGGGTGCCGAAATTTGTCTTTTGAGCTTGTATACTAATAACTCAATACCTAATATTACAACTGACTGTAATAAAATCGGAGTTCAAGACTTTGAGGGTGTAACAACAGAAATTACAATACCAACGGGATCATACGAATTGGCACAGTTAGAAGCCATATTAAGAAAACTGTTGGAACCATACGTTCAATCGTTTTCTTTAGAACCAGACGAAGTTATATTGAAAAGTGCTCTGACGTGTAGTAACGCCATTGATTTTACGGTAACTGATAATATCGCGCGGTTATTAGGTTTTAATAAACAAGTTTATGGGCCTAACATACGTCATGTTTCAACAAACATTGTTGATATTTAACAAGTTAATATTATGTATGTCGAGTGTAATATAGCGACTGGTTCATATGACAATGGACAATCAAGCAAAGCGATCCATGCATTTTTTCCTTCTGTCCCAGCAGGATACAAAATTATAGAAGTGCCTAAATCGTTAGTTTATTATCCGCTAAACACAACCACCGTATACAACGCTGAAGTTACATTACAGTCTCAATATGGTAAAATAGTAGAGAGGGGAAACTTTAACTCTCCGCCTTCACATTCGTACCTAGAACCATGGCTCTTAAGTTTAATAATAATATATATTCCGGTGTTCGTCGACTGATACGTAGGTCACAATCGTCTAGAGCAGAGACAACATCATATTTACCTAAAAAGAAAGCCGCGTGAAAATCGCCGCTAAAAGAAAAAACGAATAAGTCCATTAGCAAACGTAATTTATCCTTTTTAAAATCGTTTAACGTTCTTTGAAATCATGGACGATTTATGTTTAGACGTGACGGAAAGTTATGTCGATCAGTGTAATATAATTAGTCAACAGGTACAATCATTTTTACCGTATAGCTCCACTGCGCTAGGTAAAAATGATGAAATACGATATGAAATTCGCAACATGGACAGTTACACTTTACCAAGTGCCAGTTATTTGTACTTGGAAGGTGAAATGAAAAAACCTGATGGTATGAAGTCCAGTTCTAGATTTATTAATAATGAACTTGCATATTTATTTTCTGAAATACGTTATGAAATAAACGGTACTCAAATACAAAAAGTATGCAACCCTGGCGTTACATCTTCTTTGAAAGGCTATTGTTCATATAACCCCACTGATATTAACGAACTACACACTGCAGCATAGGACATTACTACTGAAGACAATAAAGACTTTTTCGACTGTACATATTTTTCTGGGATTATACCGCTGTCGCATATACTAGGGTTTGCCGAAGATTATAAAAAAATACTCTTAAACTGTACTCAATCATTAATATGTACGAGGAGTTCATCAGACATTAACGTAATCAAATTGTTTGATGCAAACGAGTCCTCTGAAAAAATTAAATGCAGTATAAGAACTTGTACGGGAACTTCTGGTGATACTGAGGTTGTCAAGCTAATAGACACGAGTACCGCAGCAAAAGAAAAACTGTCTACAGTATCAATTAAACTAACAAAAGTTGTATGGAATATGTCAATCGTCGAAGTGACCGAAAAGGAACAATTAAAATTACTTAGAGATTTAGATAGTAAAAAGCCTATACATTGCGCCCATAGAAATTGGGAACTGTGTGAATATCCGTTTGTACCACAAAACAAATCGTTTTCGTGGACCGTTAAAACATGAAATAATTTTCAAAAGCCCCGATATTTTATAGTAGGGTTTCAAATAGACCGTAAAAATAGTGAAAGTTAATCAATGTCTGAATTCGATCACTGTAATTTAACAAATCTTTAAGTCCATTTAAATTCAGAAGTTTATCCATATAATGATTTAAGATGTAATTTTGATTGTAAACTATTTAGTATTTTATTTTTCTACTATGTTAATTTTCAAAAGAGTTATTATGATCGACCTTGGTGTTCACCTTTAGTAAATAAAGAACAATTTCTTAATTTAATACCAATTGCCGTGATTGACATGTCAAAGCAGAACGATACAATAACAGTCTCGTCTTTTGACCTACGTATTGAAATTGAAGCATCAGCCGAGTTCCCTGCTAATACAACTGCATATGCTTTAGTAATTTCAGACAATGTATTTTCATATACACCTTTTGACGGAACCGTCCGTATAATTTAATATTAATTTTTGCACACGTTTATCATTTATTATGAACCTTGTAACTATTATTATTATTATTAAAGTATTAATAGTTATTATTATTATGAAATAAATTTATTATATACAAATAACAACGTATTTTTCATTTTTAGATTATACGTTTATTTTTAAGAAGCTAGTACAAATATTACAAAAGTTAATGTTTATAAATTTACTGAAGATAGGTTAATTTTAGCTTCGATGCGAAGCGGAGAAGGTATTAATTTTACTATGATTTTTTTTTTTTTTTTTTTATGTCTGTTGCCACTTTTTCTCAGCTCTCACTGGACCGATTTCTTTCAAAAATACGTCAAAAGATCACAAATCGTATCTAGTTGAAGACATTACCCTTAAAAATTGAAAAAAATTCCCTCGTTCCCCGCAAATGGGGGAAATATCCAAAAAAATTACAAATTTAAAAATCGCTAATTTTCGTAATTTTTTTAACATGATTTGGTTTTGGCCACTGAGAAGTCCATGAACTATAAATATTTTCTTGGGTTTCGTTGAAAAATGATGGTCCGTCGTTTTCGTCATATATTTTTTCTTTTTCCTAAATTTCTAATAATTTATAATCCCACCCCGACCAATTAGACTAATCATTGACAGACTTAAACAAGTTCGTGTATGATTTAATTAGAAAGATACATTAACGATTACTCATTAGCGTAAATGTCTGTTTGCAAAAATGTTTAACTACTTAAAGTAAATACTTTGAATTAGAAAGGCTCAATAACATATAATCGTTAACGAAAAAATATCTATTATGCAAACATTGAAGTGCTACTGAACTAATGAATAGAATTTGACTCAATATCAGATATTGTAGTTGCAAATAATATTGCACTATAAAATAACTTTATAACTATATTATTAAACTCTAAATTTTAAATAGACGAGATTAAGCGTAACATCGATGTTACGTATAATATAGTCTATACTTTCATCACATTTCAAATTTCACATAAACTACTTATTAAGGATGTGAATTAAGGGGAGGCATTTTTTATGTTGCACACACTTTACACGTGTAGTCATGTTTAGGTTTCGTTGGGTTAAAATGCCGCCCTCTAATGACCAATTCACATTTCACATTTCACATTGTGAAATTGTGTTTAAACATATATTTGTTATCTACTCTTAAGCTTTCTTTCTTTCAATATATCTCCGTTTCGATAAAAGTACTGAGAATGTTATAAGTTAATTATATATTGATATTATGCTTACCTTGTGTTGTTCCCGTTAATTCTAGTGCTGAACCAACTAATGGATATGATGGAGGTCCTGGTAACTTAGCCGCAAATCTATCAATAAACCTACGATTCCATTTGATGCGACACCAAAAAATTACTAAAAATAGTATGATAATGCAACTAACTAATTCCGCTTTTGTTTGCCAAGATATGCTCAGTGTATTTGTATATGCTGTTGAAGTATAAAATGTGAAATTCATATTTAATTTTTTTCTAATAGCGGTAAATTTTAGAACAGTCAAACAAACTAGAATGAAACTGAATATTTATTTAATATTTTACAACATAAGAAAATTGAAACAAATTATGACTGATTTGACGATAACTCATACTTGATATTTTATACATAGTTTAGAAACAATTAAAAACTGATTTATATGTTTTTAAACAATTATTAATATATTTATTTATTTACACACTTTTATTATGAGATATAATGTAAGATGTAAAATGTTGAGTGACGCTGTGAAAACTTGCTTTTTCTTTCGTAAAATTATATTAGCTATCGTCAATATTGAATTTATAAACAGATACCTGCTATAATTAATTTAGTATTTTCCAGTGAAATGAATCATAATACGTTAAAATAACTTATAGATATAAAATTAATCAAAGAACCAGTTATTGTCAAAACAATGGCAATACATAATTATATTTTACAATTTACTTAACAAAAAACAATGTAATTTATTAAAAATGTATACAGTTAATTATTATTTTTCAACGAATAAAAACCAAGCTTAAATTATTTTTATAAATTAATTTCACGAAAATACAACAAAAAGTATAAATATATGTATATATATAATAAATTCTACTAGATTTGACCTTCTTATTTGGGAAAGACCTAAGCGTAATGTATTTTTTGAAAGGGAATGTCACATAATTATAATTTATATGATGTATGATAGCATATTATAATATAAAAATTTACATTTATTATTTTTAATGTATAATAAAATTCTTTGTTATTAACTATTTCAATGGAGAAAATGTACTAAACAAATAAAATTAGCTCCAGTAACAAAGAATTTTAATTTTTAAATAAATATCATTGCCTCCACAATTTTTATATTGAAAAATAAGCTAAATCTTATTAAAAGGTTTAAGAGTTTTTATAATCAATATATTGTCCCTAATATGTAAAATATTATGTTAAAAAAGAAATGTATATAAAATTATTTTATATATCATAATATTAGCCAACGCTTTAAGCCAACTGTACATGGTTAAAATTATTAAGTATTCATAATGTATAATGTGTAATATTATTGAATGTAAAATTTGGATAAAATCTACAATAATAAATAAGCTAAATCTAAACATTTATCTACCACATGGTAATAGAATTTTTTAATTAGTATTAAGTATATTTAATCATAACTAAATATTATTGCCACTGAATATAAAACGTAATGAATGTGAAATTATCTTGGTGTGTACGCTGATCAGAAATGAATTAATAAATACAGTAATTGATAGTAATACTCTAAAATCTGCACTTGAAAAAATTAAACTTTAGCCATAAAACATCATTACCGTTCCATCAATTAATATTCCACCTTGGTTTATGCATACAAAAGTATATTCTACATGGGCCACGGTGAAGATAATAAATTACCAACCTGCCCTTGGATTTACACATTTAATTTTTTAATTATTTACTTTACTCAAAAATAGAGCGTGAGTATTAGGACACAACAGTGTGACTGGAAATGAAAAAGCTGATTTTATAGTTAGAAAAGGAACAAAAAACACATATGTTGGACTAGAACCAGTGGTAACACTCACTTAGCAATCACTCAGTATGTATCTGAGAAGTGTTCTCCGTTTAGAAACTAAAAATAATGTTAAAAATTCTTAAATTACATAAAAACAGCAAACTTATACAAAAATAAATAAAGCTTGAAAGGCCCCCAAAAAATTGTAAATTCTAAGTTTATTACAATTAACCTAGAGTATATTCATTTAAGATGTAGTTGGATATACAGAGTGATGATTAATTTTGAGTAAGCCACTAATTCTTCCTGAAACTATTGAACATTTAAAATTTTTGTAGATCAAAAGTTATTTGATTCAAAAAACTACGATATCATGTAGTCAAATAATTTTATTTTTATCCTTTCAGAGGTAAAAAAAATTAACATTAATTTTCTTTAATAAGAACTTTTGTTTTTAACTTAATAATTTGATATAGAAACAAATTTTATTGCTTTAATTTTTTCATCCGATTAAACTATCATTGGTTATAAGATGATAAAGTGTAATAATTTGAGATCAAATTACTAATGATATTTCATTGTTAAAAATAACAAAAGTTTTCATTTATCCATTTTTTACATAAACCAGATTTTATAGATTGTGCTATTGACCAACATATGGTATATTCATACCGTATTTATATTTAATTAATACATGTTAATTAATAGTCGTATATTCTTAGATTCAACACAAGTTTAAAATTGTACATTGTTAGTTACCATCGTGGAGAATTTCTAAAACAATAAATATTTTTAACAATAATATTCGTTATTTGCAAATAAAAGTTCCAATTTATTATAATGACTGTATAAAACAATTGGTAAGGAATATAATTTTGCAATTCGAATTTATAAATGTTTAAAAACCTAGTGTCATTCAATGTGAGATCGCATAATGTGTGTGTGGCTATAGTTCAGAAAGGTTTGAAAATTTTATCATAGACTTTTTAAAGGTCTTTGACAACAAAAATAATTTTTTTTTTGTTTTCTTACCAGATAGCGCAGTTTTTATGATTATAATAAGTTATGAATTTTGATTTTATTTCAACATCGAAATTTTACAGTATTTTAATAACAAAATTTTAAGGTCAAAAAAATTTTTTTTTCTTTTCAGAAACTTTTTGTTGTGTTCTTTTAATTCATATTGTATTTGAATCATTCATATTTTTTTTTGTTCTGAATATGCATGGTTTTACTGAAAATAGCCAACTTTGTCATCTCATTACACAAAAGTGACTGAACGAATTATTTTCAAATTTACATAGTAGTTATTTTTAGATAATTAAAATGTCTGGTGAAAATTTGATAATGAAGAAATAATTCTAACACCACTTACAGAGTCTCAAAATTTATAATTTACGTATTATGGAAAATCTACAAACTACGTAATTTTCAAAATTTAATTTTAATTTGATGTATTTACTCTGCACGAAAATGAAATACTACATACTATTGTAAGCAATTATTTTTTAAATTATTGCTTCGTTTTTGTACTAATTATAAGCATAAAACTGTCGATGAAACCGTTGTCTTTATTATACATAGGGTTTTCATTTTGATCATATTACTCATAATGACTTTTGTAATATATTATTAAAATTGTATAACATTGTTAAACAATATATAAAACTGGTTATCTACTTTTATTAAATATTACAGGATTGTCCATATAAATTTATATAGTTGTGTGTCACCAAACAGTTAAGTCAACGTGTAATTTTTATTGTTATGACTAGTGAATTGTGTATTAATAAAATCTATTTCAACTATATATTTTCGCATATTCGAGTTTTATTTGATTATTTGATATAATTACAATAATTTATTGTTTTTACAACATACACATTTAACTATCTTATAAAATAAAAAATTATATAATAAAAAAATTGTTTAATTTTATAAAGAAAAAATATCTTTTGGTTGTTCAAAAGTCAGTACTTTGAAAGTTATTAACATTTTTATACCTTTGCGAGAGGAAAGGTGCGGCCGAAAAATGTCAAATATGTAATATTGTCATCTCATCTCCAGTCTTTATTTAAAAATAATAATAACTTCCTAAATAATGTGTCAAAAATAGTCAGTGACCAGTCATTTTCTTAATTATATCATTTTTAATTTATAAGCTAGTTAAATATGTATTATACTGTTATAAAATAAAGTTGATTTTCTTATACCTTAAAAAGGATGAATTAAAAACAATAATTATTAGTGATAAATTGAGAAATATATGAAACTAAAAAATACCAAAAAGGATTTTCTTAATATAATTATTATAATTACTTTTAATATACTTGTAAGCTAAATTCATTATGGTATAGTTTAACATACAAGGACCCCGAAGAGGGTCCACCCTGGGTCGAGGCAAAGTCAGAGCACCAGGAATTTTGATAGCTTATCCTAGGGGGGAAGGCTATAAATAAACTATAATTTGGTATAATTATTAAAATTTATTAAATGTTACAAACAATTTTTTCTTTTATCGTAAAATAACAAAAGTATTTAAAAAGAGAACTATACATAAAAACAAATTAATTAAAAAAATACACAGATCCCAAATTAAAGGGAAAATATAGAGAACAAAAATACTACATTAAAATATTGAGTATATTAATAGTAATTAAATTATAGCCAAAGATATAAGAGGAAATATAAAATTATAGTTAACCCATATACATATTATATGTATATTCATTAGCTAATAAAATAACATAAATACAGATATCATGGCGATTTAACCAAAAAAGAAAACAATAAATTTGACTATGCATACTATGCGGAAATACAAAAAGATTAAATATATCATATTACATATTGTTGAGGATGTCCAAGTCTAGATAATAATTGTGAGGTGTTGCCATGATCATGGCCAAGACAAATTGAAAACTTACTCCTCCATCGTGTATTTGTAAAAATACGATAAAAATTTGATGAGATGATAGTGAAGAATAGTGATGATGAAAAAAAGAGATTCATTTTTGAACAAAACCGTACTTTCCCATGCCGGCTCGATAACACATCGGAAAAGGTAGGTGCCAGTGTGCCCATTATAATATGGTATAAAATGGACGAGGATCACAGGTAGTAGGGAAAATTATTTGTATAATAATCATGTGTGTATATGTAACACTGACTTACTGAACACCCTGTAGATGTACGACGCGTACTGTTTGAATACAGTTACCTGTGACCTTATACTCATGATCATTTTATTACGTCACATACTTATTGGATTGACAACAAAAGCTAACACATAAATCGTTTTTATAATTTTTTGTAAAAGGGAGTTAAAATGTGGAACTTACCCCCACCCTTCTATAATTCTATATCATTTGACCTAAAATATAGACAAAATAAAATAAATCAAAATTTTAAAAATATAATAACAATACGAAAAACGATGATAAATGAAAAAATAGTATTTTGGTGTAAAATACATACAATTTTGTTTTAATTTTAATCATTATAATATTTATAATTTTACAATAAACATGTATATGCAGAGTGATTTTTTTATCATAAACCGTTCGATTACTTACTGAATAAAAATAATTTAAAAGTATATTTTATGTTATTTCAACTAATTTATTTAGAAAACGTAATCGTTCCAACTCGTCTCTAATCGACCAAATTGAGTGAGACGCATGAGTTGTGAGAAATATAATAGCAATTATCTTGCTGCAAAAGTGCAGAATGACGGTGGTTCTATAATAATTTGGAGCTACTTGTCAGGAAAAGGAACTGGAGAATTGCATTTTGTACAAGGAACAGTAAATAGTGACAAATACATTCAAATTATGGAGAATTATATGATTCTTTCTAAAAAAAAGTTTTTGAAAGACGCAAAATTTGGTATTACCAGCAAGACAACGCTCCATGTCACACATTTCAGAAAACTCCAACTACTATATCACCTAACCAAACCTCCTAAAAATTTTATATCTTCAATGAAGGGATCCGACTTGCTACAGCGACATTTTAGACTAATTCAGTGATTATTTTCTTAAGTTACGTATAAAAATCTATTATATAAATAAAAAGAGAACAATCTGTATAGTACAGTGTTTACTTTAATACTGTATAAAAACAACCAATTATTTTATGTTCAATAGCTAAAAATAAAACACCTACTTTAATGAATAAACTCTAAAAAACCTATGTGGCCTATCGACAACATCACTTAAAAAGAGGTAATCTAAAAGACTGAAAAAATTACAATATGAGACGTTTCAATAACTTTGGGACAATGAAATAAACTGTAACAAGCTTAAAATAAAAAAATCTTTTCATAAATGCTATTCGTCCATTAATACCATAGGTGAATAAGGCATTATTATTCAAGCAAGTGTTGTAAACAGCTTTCTGACTAATTCGTGCCTTATTTCAAAAAAAGAAAAACCAATTTGTTCTTTATTGCTGTTTATATTTTTCATTTAAAGTTTAAAAAATTGATTATAAAATTATTTTATTTCGATGGATGATTACAGAAAAGTGTGAAGTGAATTTTTGACAAAAATTAGTTAAATGTACTAACTTTCTTTTAAAATTTACAGTTTTCTTGGATTATTCTAAGAAAATTTTGTTAACATAATAATTACATTAATATAAATCTACTGACTTGCATTAAAATAATCACCATGTATTCTTCAAATTTTGGTGTAGTAACTTATTTATATCAATAAATTTATAATAGCAATTAAATATGGTATGAAACTAATATTTTAATTTTTACGGAGAAATAATAAAAAATTATAAAGTAAATGTATACTATATATACATATATACTTTATATATGTACTAGTACATGTAGTATATTTTGTTACCTCTATGACAAACATGTATAAAAATTAAAGGGATTGTTGCAATATTTTATAAAGAAATTTTTTTTCTCTAATGAATAATTACTAAGAATTAAAAAAATGGTATTGATAATATTAATATGCAGTCAGCAAATTTTATAGTTACTATTTATAGTAAATGTATCCGAAAAGCTCAATATTTTTTTGCATTTTTATCGTAATAGATAACATAATAAAAATAATAGTTATCATTTCTTAGTAACTTTTATTGTTTAAAAATATTCTACAATTGAAATATTCAGAACTAAACTAATTTTTAAGATTTATTTTAACTAAGAAAACCAATCAAGAAGTTGTAAAAAAAATCTACTCAATTGAGCATATTATAAAATTAGATTATAGTTGTAAAAATTCATTGTTAAATTCAATTGAAATTAAAAATAATTTTTTTTAAAAAACCCAGCACAGGGGGGTCGCGGCACAGTGGTGACGTCGCATAGTTGGATAAAGTATAATGATATCTGACAGTGATTAAAATCACTATCAAAATAAAACGCTTCGATGCAAATCTTTAGATAGTGTTTAATTTTAAAAAATTATACAATCAAAATTAGTTCCAATACTTATAAAAATGAGGTACGCAATGTTTCAAGTAAATCAGAAAAGATTGCCACAAAAGGCTTAAAGTTTGAAAACTCAAAAATTTTGGATAACCATACATTTTTCCTTGTTTTTTTAGTTCAGCGCATGAAATAATGGATTCACAACAAAATTGTAAAAACAAAAGTTGTTTAAAATAATATTTTACACAAATTATATTCCGAACAATTTTTTGATTTACTTATTATTTATGTATAAAAAGTCAATATATATAATTTTGTTGTTAAAAACTTACAAAATAAAGTCAATTCAGTGTTAATTTTATAATACGAAAAAAATTTTTTTAAAAATTTACAAAAACACGTCAAACATAAAAACTAAAAAAAACCCAGCACAGGGGGGTTGCGGCACAGTGGTGACGTGGCATAGTTGGATCAAATATAATGATAAATATAATATAAATAATAAAATCGAGAATTTTCACACGAAAATAGCATTTGGTAGCCGTTTTTACCATAAAGACAAGTCCAAAGGTCAAATATTTTTTTTTCAAATTAAAGTACATTACATTAGCTTTAATTTAAGATATATATTGTGGGCAGATAAAGGGTCAAATTTACAAAAAAAATATATCAAATGATAGTTAAAAACATCAAGCATCTATAAAAAAAAACTTTATTGATATGTTCAATTTTGAAAAAGTTACGGTAGTTTTTAGTAAAAAAAATTGAAAAAATTTCGAAAATTAGCGATTTTTAAATTTGTAATTTTTGTGGAGGTTTCCTCCATTTACGGGGAACGAGGGAATTTTTTTCAATTTTTGAGGGTAATGTCTTTGACTAGATACGATTTGTGATCTTTTGACGTATCATTGAAAGAAATCCGTTCGGTGAGAGGTGAGAAAAAGTGGTAACAGACACAAAAAAAAAAAAAAAAAACACATCATAGTAAAACCANGTGGAAAAAAAAAAAAAAAAAAAAAAAAAACACATTATAGTAAAACCAATACCTTCTCAGCTTCGCATCGAAGCTAAAATGCAAAATGTTACCAAAAAATTTGGAATATTATAGATTCATAGTAGCACACACAAATAGAGCTTAGAATTAATAAATTACAAAGTAAAATTATTTAATTTTGTAATTGAAATCTATTATCATATCAAACCTAATTTGACAATAAATACTTTAAAAATGTTAGAATTAAATTATTTTAATTTTCAAATGGAGAAAGCTGGTTAAGTAATTTTTTATTTGATAAAGGAGATTTTTTTTTTAATTTTTAGATTAATATCTTAAACTAGATATTAAATGTATTTTTCATCAAAATCGGTCCAGTGAAAGCTGAGAAAAAGTGGTAACAGATACAAAAAAAAAAAAAAAAAAAATA